AACAGCAATTGCTTCAGCTTGTGAATTCGTCGTAATAATTGAGTTGTTTTCAATAACAATGGAATAATTTTTAATATTTTGAACTGTTTGTATTTGTATCGTTGGATAAGCATCAATTGCTTCCTGAAATAAATAATGAAAAAATTAAACGATGAGGATCGTCCAACAATTCATATAGTTGATGAAAATACTCATATGACTTAATAAGAACTTCTTTGAGTGCTTGTAACGTTTCATGATCATGTGTTCCAATATGAATAAAAACAAAAAGTTAATATAAAAAGAAAAATAAAATATATTACCATCAATGAGATTTTCTTTTTGTAGATGATCCAAATGCTTGACCAATTTTGTAAAACTTGATTTTAATGCTTGAACAATATCACCATAAAATGGATCAGAATGAACATTGATTTCACGAATAAACTATTATAGAAAATAAAAAAAGAAATTTATAATATTAAAACATACATTCAGAAAAATTTTAATCAGTCATTAGGTAAAACAGAAAAAGAACGTTTTGCGATACCTACAAAGTCAGTAATAGATAAAGCTGGATATAATTCATTGATTTCTTTGATTGGTTTCATCTCTTAAACAAGACGCTGACGATGTACATATGTTAAATCCATTTTACTTTTAATGTGACCATAATCATAATGTGTTGTGTTAGTTAATACACGCATTGATTCTGCTTGTTGACACAATAGCATTAAGAGTTCATTTGATTGTTCTTTTTCTTCAAGCAAATATTCCTAAAAAAGAGAAAACTTTTAAAGAAAAAAATTAGTTTCATTCTTACTCGACGAGCAACCAAATCAACCTTCACAAATTTTAATTTTCTTCCTGCCATTTGATGACCATATGATTGACGTTTTTTCATCAATATTTCAGATACATAAATGGATGCTTGCCGATCGCGAGAGAATTGGTGTTTTAATGCTGATGTTACTTAGGGCATACCAAAAGTAGTGACGCCGACACTATAAAGTCTTATAGAAGTCTCGAGAAAATTTTCTTTCTATACAATCTGATATAGAAAAGAATGCTCTATTTTTCTATGCTATTTCAGCATACTTCAACTAATGTCATAAGAATAAAATTTCGATAAGAACTGTTTTTGTGTACAACTTCACTAATATGTGAGGCAGATTAAATGGCCACGCTCTGCATTTTTGGAATTTCAGATTTCAATTACTTAATAGGTTGTATTAAAAAAATAAAATATACCACAATATGCAGCGTGAAAAGCTCTACAATTTATTAAGAACAGTTTATTTTATATATGAAATAAGAAAAAAAGGAATTTCTCGTCATCTAGAAAAAAATAACTTTTTTGGAGCAGTGAAAATTGGTCGCACAAAATTTTGCTTTTTTTTTTTGAAAACAAGAAATACACAATTAAAATAAGCCTTACTTTGTATATTGTAGAGCTTTTCACGCTACATCTTGTGATGTTTTTTGTTTTCTTTAAATAAAAGAGATCAGGTGATAAAAAGATGAAATACGAAAAAGTGAATTCATCTTATACCAAAAAAAGTACTGTTTTCATACGGTCCAAAACTGGTCACTCAAAATTTTGTTCATTTTGAAAACAAAAAGTGCAATGATAAAATAAACGATCTTATGTAAATTGTAGAGCTTTTCACGCTGCATATTGTGGTATATTTTATTTTTTTAATACAACCTATTAAGTAATTGAAATCTGAAATTCCAAAAATGCAGAGCGTGGCCATTTAATCTGCCTCACATATTAGTGAAGTTGTACACAAAAACAGTTCTTATCGAAATTTTATTCTTATGACATTAGTTGAAGTATGGGTCTGGCTCACTTGGCCGACATTCACTTGGCCGACACATCACTTGACCGACACCACTTAACCGACAGATTGTTTGGCCGACAGG